TATATATATAAATTTTTGGAAACTTAAAGAAATATGCTAGAAAATATTACTCTCATTGTTAACATCACCCACAGTATTCACCGAATGAGAATATTTGTTCCCAGTATCCACTGCTGGGGTCCTTGATTGGATTAAAGTCTGAGCCAAATCTTGTGTGCCTTAGTGCTGTCTTTCTACTAACGCTAGATAAACTAAACTGCCTTTGTTTTTTGTTTTTTATCCTATGTCTAAAAGAATTTTGGAGGATGGCAGGTCATCCACACTGAGCAGTTGGGAGAGCACAGGAAAAAGACAGAAGGTGAAAGAGGAGCACTACTGGTGTTGTGCGATGGAGCGTGCTCACAGACTCCTCCTGGACGAGGAGGCATGTAATCAGGTGGGCAAACACCAGAAGGCCGAGTTCATCTTGGAATGGCTTAACCACCTAAAGAGGCTCCTCCCAGTCACTGACAGGGTAAGAGGTCATATGATCATGGAAAATAAAAAGGAATTAATTGTGTAACTCTGAGAGTGGTAATTCTATTAATGTTTGTTACCCATTAGGTCGATATCAGACACAACCAGCGGTGTTTGGTTGACCAGCTGTGGGAAATTCTAATTAACTCTCCAAGCGGGCCTACCCGCTGGCTGTTGGCCCACTGCTTGGCTGTGCTCTATCGCTTAGGAGACCCCATCCCATCCAACTTAATGGTGGAGAGGTGTAACGACATAATACGCAGCAAAGATGACTCGCCGTCAGCCCTTCCAACCCGGCTGTAAGTCTAGATACATTTATGATCATGAGGGAAGAAACAAAAACGTTTCCTCTTTTCCATCCCCTTAAAAATGTGGGTGCAGTACCCATTCAGGGAGCATGTGAGACAGTGTTATTTTTTTGAAAGCTTGAAATTTAAAGAATAAATCTCTATTCACTGATGTCACAATTGGAAATGTTATTATGATGTGATTATTTGAATGAAAATGAAGCTGAAAACTTTTTAAGACTTAAAATATGATTAGTTCAGTTTTCAAGCTAGTTTTTAAATGCAGTCTGTAGGCCGTTTACGCTCTGAACATTGCTTGTTGATATTTGTTCACATTAAATGAGTCATTAAATGCTATCAAGCTTTTGAAAAGTAAGGTTCTGAAATTGAGTATGAATCGTAATATGATTAATATAATCGTAATATAATTTCCACTGATTTCCATTTTTTTTTCTGTCCGTGACGACAGTGGTCTCAGCTAATATATAATAATAATAATAATAATAATGGATTGGATTTATATAGCGCTTTTCAAGGCACCCAAAGCGCTTTACAAT